ATACTTTTGGTTATTGAGATTGTGGGGGGGTTTTTCATTTTAAAGTAACAATTAAAGGGTTGTGTGTGTGTTTAAAGGACACAATTTTCGGTAAAAAGGATGCGGGTGTTGAAAATTTAAATTGAAAACTAAAAGGGTAGCTTTTTTTGTCAACGTTGAAAAGTAGTAGAAAAGGTGTATTGTAATGTAAATGACATAATGCTGAATGTAAGGACATTTGGAGGGACACATTTATATTTAATAAAGTTGAATGACCTAGAAGGAATTACATTTTTGTATCTAACTTATAATTCCGGTTACTAGTAAAAATCGCAATGCTACAAAAATAGATTTGATTAAATTTTTTCTTTAGAAAGTTACACTAAATATACACTGAAGTTTTAACAGAAAAGAGTTTGAACACACCAAGGGTCTATATTTATTGGAAGGCCAATCGAATCAATATTTTAAAAATTAGAGGGATTTCCAGGTTTGATTCCGATACAAATTAAAATACTTCTTTATTTACAATAGAAAACAGAAATTTGAATATTATTATCATATATTAGAATATATTGTTTGGCAGTTTTTTTATTTTCGATTTTGAGTTCGTCGACTTTTTAATAATATTATAAAAATTAAATTAATAATATTATAAAATTAATATTAAATTAAAAAATAATGTTATAAAAATATTCAAAAATGTGTTTTTAAGGAATATTTCTGAAATGAATAAATAGAATTCTTAATAGAATATGTTGGATTTTTAAAGAATATTTATTAATTTAGAAATATGTATTTTTTGTAACCATTGCTTATTATTAATTATAAAAATTGTTCGGTGATTATTTAAGGACACTTAGTGCCTGAATTTTATTAAAATAGTTTTTAGGAGTAAAGCTCAAATTCCCTCTCTAACTCAAAATTAATTTTCGGTTATAAAAATATTCAGAAATATGTTTTTAAGGAATATTTTTGAAATGAATAAATTGAATTTTTAATAGAATATCTCGGATTTAAAAAAATGTTTATTAACTTTGAAATATGTATTTTTTGTATACATTGCTTATTATTAATAAAAATTGTTCGGTGATTATTTAAGGACACTTAGTGCTTGGATCATCTTAAAATATTTTTAAGAGAAAACTCAAATTCCTCTCTGACTCAAAATTAATTTTCGGTCTATTTCTAAAATGTATATTGTGTATAAGTTATATATATATATATATCTCATATGCATTTAATATATATATATATATATATATATTAATTTTTCATATATTAATTTTTAATATATCTCACTGTTACTGAATATACCCTTTTTAAAAAAATATTTCATCGGTTTTAAACAATATATTAGATTTATTGGATCACATTTAAGATTTTTTTAATTATAATTAAAATTATAAAAAAATTATTGAAATATTTCGTTATTCTTTATTCACAAATACTGTTTTACACTGAAGTTTAATTATCGACACCTTTAAAAAATATTTTTTTTAGATTTTGAAAAATTTATTAAATTAGGAAATATGTATTAAATTATAGTAAAAAAAATTATTATTATTATTATTATTATAAAAAAATTATTTGTTTTTTATTATTTGGAATATTTTTTTAAAATTATTTTTGCAAGGACACAGACGATTTTTCTGTTTTTTTTTTTTTTTAATAATTTTTAGTGCATGGACTCTATTAAATAATTTTCTAAATAAATTCTCAAATTCCATTTCTATCTAAAATTCCTCTTGCTATCTTTATTACAAATATATGTCTTTTTTTAATTTGACAAAATTTGTACCATAATTTGGAGATTATTGACAATTTTCTTCAAGATTTTATTTATAAATATTATCAAAACTATAAACATGACTACTTAAACAATTTTCCGTTAAAGATATTTGGTTTTATGTTTTATGTTTTCTGATTTTGTTTTTAAATTATTTTAAAGCTATAAACATGGTTTTGTTAAAATATTTTCTGAAAATACTTTTCTAGTTATAGAAAAGCTATAAACATAAAAATCTCAAGAATTTTTCATTAAAGATTTTTAGCCATATACTTTAAGGGTGTATTTAACACGTATTTTTAAAATAATTTTAAATTTTTGTTTCATCCAATTCTATAGAGGAATTTATTGATAAAACATTTTATTTTTTATACGATTTATGGCAAAAAATTCCTTTCAAATAATTCATTCCTTTACTTATCAATTTGGAGGCATTTAAAAAAATAGTTGTTTTTTTCTTCAGAACAATTTAAAATTTTTACTTAAATTATATTGAAGAGGCATTTATTCATCAGTTTTAATTTAAGGTTTTTATTTATTTTTTTTTTTTGGTTTTTTTTTTTTTTTTTTTTGTAAAATACGAAAGAAATTTAAAAGAAACAATATTTTCCCAAAAAACGAATAACTCTTCTTTATTATCTCCTCCAAAAAAGAAAGCAACCACAAAGTTACGCTCTTGTCTTTAAAAAAGAAAATAATAAATAAAAAAGCAACAACGGTAAGAAATAATGGCAACGACAAATCATTTAAGAAAGTGGGAGGTTACCTTTGGCTTTAAGAAAGAAACAAACACACAGTATAACAACAAAAACAACAACCACAAAAATTCCCCACACCACAAAAAAACACAACAACGACAACATTATGATAAATACAAGTCATAATAAAGAATATGATGAAAATATAACAACAACACCACCAATAACTATACAGGGAAGAGTCAACACAGCACAACCAACCATGTTGCCGTCGCCTTATCAAATATTAATGCGCGGCTAAAGAAGAAGCACAAGCAGCAGCAAAAGACGTTGAAGAAATACAACAACAACACCAACAAAAACCCAAATTAAAGGGGGTTGGCTGTTATTGTATTGCAGTTACAGTCATATACACAACGACACTGTTGTTTTTGTTGTTCGTCTTTTTTTATTATTATTGTTGCCGTTGACGTGCTGCTGCTGTCTTCTACATTGGTGCTGTTCGGTTATGACAAGCAAGACATACAACAATGCCAAAAACAACAACAACACAAAGAATAATGTAAATAAAAAAACCTTAAATTATTAAATATGAAAGACAGAGAAGGCGCGACTTAATATGGCTGGCATTTTATTCCAAAAGAGTAAAAGAGAAATAAAACCAGTTGCTTCCTTGGTTTACCAGCAGCGAGGAGAGAGTGTATGCGTACATGAGAGTAATAAATAAACACACAGCAAAACAAAATTATACACATGCCCACCCACACATGGTTGGTAAAATAAGGCCCAAAGGGGTAATATTCATAAAGATAACGATGGATTTGATTTATTTAATAATTTTTATTTATCTAGTAATTTTAATTTTTCAATATTAATAAAAAATAAATAATTACATTTTCCCCAACTATCCAACAACAAACCCCTTCAAGAAGAGCATGCATTTTGTTTCCCCCATTGATAAATCATTAATAAATCCACTCTCTCTCTCATACTCTTCCCATATAAACAACACAGTAAATGTAGAGAGTGCCCATAACGGCATACAAAACAGAGAATGGTAACGAGCACTAAATAACATGAGAGAGCGTATACAAGAGAGAGAGATTTTGTTGTGCCTCTTCGATTCATACATTCACACAGGAAAAAAGGGTGTGAGTCTAGTTAACAGTTAAACTTAAGGCAGTTAGAGAGACAAAGAGAGCCTATGTTGCACACATTGCCTAACAGCCTGTGTGCCAGAAAGAGATGGCAATAGAAAATATTAATAAAATTATGATGTTTTGAGTTTTCATAGAGAAGGCACATAAAAATTAATGTTGATATATGTTTCATATTTGAAATGATAACATGTTTTTTTGCTGCTAGCTAGCTTGCTGGCTGGTGGCTGATGGTGTGTGTCTATGTATGAGTGAGTGCTGAGTATGAGTACGCATTTAAGGTGGTGGCGCTGGTGGTCTGTGCTGTTTTGTATTGTGCTGCCAGCTAGTAGCACAGGCAACACAAAAATATTACGAATTGTTTGAGTGACTTTTTGGTTGGGCTGTTATTATTTGTGAAGTCAGTGTAAGTTTGACGCGCGTGCTGAACGTATCACACAAGCAAAAGAGACGTGAACAAAAAACACACATAAGAGATATTTTCACAACAGCAACAAAAGTAAATACACAGCAAAATAATAACGTAGTGTCGAAAGAACGTAATATCACACAGAATAAAAAAAGACGAAACTTATAATAAAAACAAGAAATATAAATTAAAAAAATAACAAATATAAGTGAAATGTTTAGCACAATCAATTAAAAATAAATTACAAGAAAAAATTTTAAATAAAATAATTTAAGAATTTATAAAAAAATTAAAACAAAAAGCCGCCGGTACATAACAAGAGAGACAAAAAATAAAAAAAAAGAAGAAAACAAATGAGAGTATGAGTGAAAGAAACAAAGAAAGAACATTGAGTTAGATTCTTATATACAAATGGCAAAATTGGAATTATGAAACACAAACGGAAAATTTCTAATAATGCATAAATAATCAGAATCAACAAACCAATCACAGTCCAGCAATCAAAGAATAAACAACACTATATATAACTACAAAACGTTTTAATAATTTAATGTGGACAAGGCAATTGAGGAAGAACAACAACTACAGCTACATACAAAAGGATATTATTTTTAAAAATAAATAAATATGTTATTAATATAAAAAACAACAAAATAAGAATTTAATTCTTAAGTGCAAAAAATCAGTTTTATGGTTTCATAAAAATAAATAAAAAATATTTTTTTTTTTATTAAAAAAATCTACTAAAGAAATAAATATAAATTCCACAAAATATGCAAGTTTGGACTTTAATATAAAACAAAAAATAAACTTAACTTGAAATTTGTGTAAGAAAACCCGAATTCGTTAACAAATTTCGTGTGTTCTTTTTTCGTAATTGAAATTGAAATCGAAATAGAATTTTGTTAATTGTGGAATACGAAACCTGTAGTTGGTTTTTGGTTTGTTTTTATTCCACAACTTATTCTAAATGAAAAATATTTTCTCAACGGTTTTGTGTGAAATGAGAAGTGATTTTAAAGAAAGCCATCAAGAAACCATTAATAAAATGATACAATTTGGTACGGTTAAATATGGAATTGTTAAACAATTAAAAGATCGTGCCAAGAGTGCCGAGAAAGGTAAGTCGAACATTTTTTCTTTGCAATTAAAAATAAAAAATAATTTTATACCAAAAATTATTTTTTTTTTTTTTAATTAAAACATAATTTTTAAACAAAATTGAAAAATTAGGTAGTTATTAAAATGTCGGTTATTGTGAAAACAAAAGCCATTTGGGCATTTAAATTTGCTTATAGCTGAAAAAAAATCTTATTTCGGGAAATATATATTTTAGTGGAAGAGGTTTAAAATATTTCGAAAATGAAATATTTTTGGCAAGAATCTATATTGAAAGTCTTTAAATTGTGACAAAAGCCTCTAATAAAAATGGAGACCTTTTGAAAATCAAACAATTAAGGAAATAGTTTAAAAAAGAATTAGAGAAATTTTGTTAAAGCCTAAAGCGAAATAGGCTTTCTTAATTTTTATTACAAATCTTTGTTTATATTTATTTTCTTTATTTAACAATAGGCCCTAATATCGCAATAGTAGCTCCACGATTTTTGCTATCAAAAAATCCAATTAATTTTTTTCCTTTTGAAACAATTTCAATACAATAAATTTATTTTGGTATTGAATATGATTAGTGAGTTCGTCATCTAAGAAAAAAAATATTAATGGCAAATGGCCCATCACTAATAATAATAATCAAGATTTCAAACCAGTTTTCACAAACAACAACAATAACTTAATTACTAATTAAATATAAACAACAAATTCATTTCAAAATTAATTTATTGATTTGGCCAATAGTTTTAAAATAGTTTTCTGTTTGTTGTTGTTGTTGCTGCTGCCTTTTTGATTTAAGTCATAAACCATATTTTTTCGGTTTCTTTTTATATACGACTTGATTACCTTATAAAAATCATAAATACAAACACACGCATAAAACATAAAAAAATAAAAAACATAGTTCAATATATAAAAACTGGTATAGAAATAAATATAAAAAAACTAATCATTATTTTTTTTAAAAAGATGGAAATGTTTAAATTTAAATTTATACAAGGCAATAGGGGAAAATAGTTACTTTTGAAAATGATTTATAAAAAATTATTTAGTATCGGTTCAATTTAATTTATGAGTTCATTTTTGTTAACCATTTTGAAGGCAAAGGGTTTACAACATTACAATAAAATATAATTAATGTTATTTTAATTGATTTTATTGGAAATATTGTTTACAGCCTTTTAAGATTCAAAACAATTTTTCAATTTCTTTCAAAATTGTAGTTTTGTTTGATGTAATTTTTATAAAACAAATATTTGTTTTTTATTTTTATTAATTTCCATTTAATTTAGATAACATCTCAGAAATATTTTTTTTTTGTGTGGGGTCGCCTTGGGCTCCCACTCACTCCCGGCTATTGTGTTGGGTTTAATACACCATCACCATTATGAATATTTAAAAAGTAATAATGCCGCTTATCATATTTATTAACATATTTATCGCATTTTATAAAGTGACTAATATTTGTTAAGTAGAAAAAAACACTATTTTTAAACAAAAAATTCGAAGAAAAAAATATGAAACAAAATATTTTTCACGATTTATTTTTGTTAAAAGCTTGACACGATTTTTGAAAGGGGATTCAGAAACAAATCCATTGCCTTCCAATACTGATTTTACGACCTTTGTAACTTATACTAGTTTGCTTTTTAGTCAATGAATTCTAAATCACTTTGGCTAAAAATGATTTAAAACATATTTTTTTTGTCTCCAACATTTAATTTTCTGTCTTATACTATTTTGCTTATTATCGTATAACCATTTTTTTTTGTTTGCCTGCCCTCATTAAAAATTATAATATTCAAATATTTATTGATTGTCTATGAAATTATTATTAATGGCATATTGGGAGAATGAAATCAAGTTTCAAAAAAAAAAAAAAAAAATAAATAATACTTTATGAATTGATTAAATTTCCTGATTTTGAAAATAAAAAAATTAGAGAAAATGTCTTGCATTTGAAATTGATCTAGAAAAAGTATTTAAATTTCTATAAACTATCTCTTTAAGATGTTACAAATATCACAACAAACCTAAAATACCCATTTCAATTTATCTCCCAAATTATGTCTGTGAGTGTGTGTGTGTTTGGTTATACAAATCAACTGAAATTAAAACTGAACTCATTTGTCAAAATGTGGTTGTTGAATACAAAACAAAAAATACAAGCACACAGAAAAATTAATATACATTTATAAATTTATAAATATGAATTTATTTATTTCTACAGTAGGAACTCGATAAATTGTAACTGAAAAATTAAAAAAAAAATTCTTTATAAAGAAATACTGGTCAATGATAATCCCCTTCTTTTAAAAATTATTTTTTATAATCTAAAAATTAAAAAAAAAAATTAATTTTTTATAATTTAAAAATTAATTTTTTTTTTTAAAATTAATTTTTAAAATTAATTTTTATAATTAAAAAATTATTTTTTATAATTTAAAAATTTTTTTGAATTTTTATAATTAAAAAAATATATTCGAATCTATATTTTTTTATAATTTAAAAAATATTGTTTACAATTAAAAAAGTATTTTTTGAAATTTAAATATTATTTTTCTTTTAATTTCGTATTATTGCGAGCCCACTGTATATATTCGAATCTATATGTTTATTTCAATTTTTGGTTTTTGAAAACATGATTTATAAACTTTATAAACTTAATAACAATCGAAGCACGAGACACTGGCGGGAGGTCGGTCGGATGATGGTTAGTCACAAATTTATTTAATGAGATGATTTTTTGTTGTTGTTTGTCTTACAAAAAAATTCAATAATTTTTTTAGTTTTATTTGGAACAAACTATATTTATGAAATATATATTTTAATTTGTTCACAAAACATTGTTGTTGTTGTTTGTCACAGTTAAGAGGAAATTTTTCATACATATATATATATTTTTTTTTGGAATATTTAATTGGAAATCAAAAGAGCTTCCGTTGTGGAGATGGTTTCTTTGGTTTGGGTGGCATACCTAATGACGTAAATTATAGAGTATTGAATTGAAAATTATGGAAAACAAGAAGAAACTGGTTTTCGAATACCGACAACCTAATGGGTCAGGTGAAAAACTTCGGATGAATTCTTTCGATTTTTTATTCTACTATTTTTTGTCATTTCATTCAACACAATTTACAAGTTTTTAATTCATTTTTGTTTTACTATTTTTTCTGGTTTAATTCAAAATTCTTCTGTTTTCTATTTTTTTAGTATTTTATTTAAAAAACAAATTATATTTCCTGTTAGTTTTTTATGTGATATTTTTTTAAACCTTCCGCATCAACTTGAACCATAAAACCTTCCCATATATGTGTGCAAAATTTATTATTTTTTATTTTGTCATTAAAAAAAAAAAATATGCTAATATGCTAAATGACTTATTGTTGCTGTTGTTGTCATGGCTATTTTGGCTAATGATTATTAAAAAAAAATCGTAAAAAATAAATTAATTTTTTGGAAACAAAAATTAAATTAATAATTAATAGGGGGACATTTTTTTGAAGAAGCATTTTAATTAAAAATTAGAGCATATTAGGTTTTAATAAAAAAGAGAAAACTATTTTAAAATCCCTATTAAAAATAAATTGAAAAAAAACAGTCCACATTATTTGTATTTTATTTTATTACTTAAAATATCCATACAACCCTATACATGTTCTTGATTTAAAACCGTTTTCAAAATTTTGTTTTTTTTAACAAATTGTTGTTATTGTTATTATCATATTTCAATCATCATTATATTGACACTTTCGAGTTAAAAAAAAAAAAATGTTGGTTGTATATCAATATTTTTTGATTCCATACCGAAAAAAAAAATTCAAACTTATCAGCATCACATCGTTCACACAATAAAGAAACGCCGCCAATATTATAAATTAAAACATTAAAGATCAATATTTGCTTAAGCAAAAAATTATATTTAAATTATTATATGTTTTTGTTACCGAAAACATGACGAAGAAGAAAATAAATGTCATCATAAATAAACAACCGGTTAATATTTTGTTTCATTCCGAGATGAAATATTTATTTTTCTCCCACAGAAAAAAATCAAGATAAAGAAAAAAAACAAACAAATTTTTTAAATTAAATTAATAATAATATTGGCGAAAAAAAATTCGGGAAATGTTAATTAAAAAAAATTTAATAAAAAAATTCAGAATGTATATTTTTATGATAAATAATAAAAATTAAAATGCAAACAAATATGAAAATTTGGAATAAATACAATTTGTTTTTAAAAAAATAATTTTTTTTTTTTTAACAATTTTAAACAAAAAATAAAAATTATTCTATTCAAAAAATTTTTTTCCTAAATAATCTTGGATTTTCAAAATGAACCAATATTTCTTATATATTGTATAAAAATTAACGAATAAATTTAAATCGTTATTCTTTCTTTTAATATTTTTATTTTGAAATTTTTTGGATTTTTTATTTTTGAAAAAAAATCCATTTTTTTCATAATTTCTTTTTTCCCAAATTTTATTTCCAAAAAATTTTCCATTTCCAATTTTTTAATTATATATTCCCCTCCATGGCTACATTTTATAAAATTTATTTTTATTATTTGCCATACAACAATGTTACTCTTGTTTCTGTTTCATTTCTGAATATTCATTTTCAGAACCCAAAATACAAAAAAAATATCGTTTTCCTTCCGCATAAAATTCAATACAGTATTTCAATTTTTTTGTAATTGCTGAATATCAATTACTAGTTTATTCTGTCTGTTTTATTATTTCATTATAATGTGTATTGAACTTTAAAGGTTATGGCTTATGAATAATTTAATAACAAAATAAAATAAAAACGTTTTTTGTTCTCTTCTGAAGACAATGTAATTACAAAGTTTGTAAAATAAGAATATTTTATAAAAATTTATAAAATACCGATATTTACATACAACTAAATATTGGGGAAAAAAGAAGGAGAGAGGGCATTGAACGTATTGCTATTTGAGGGGGGAATAGTTTCAATGTCAAACTTAAAAAAAAAAATGTATTTAGTTTTTTTATGAAGACGTATTTCCAAACTTAAATTAGGAAAGAAATTCCAGTTAGAAAAAAATCGGTGACCAAGAAGTAAGGTTTAATAAAAATCTGAGGATTTTGAATATTCATTGCAGACCTAAAAATAGCTTTTAATAAAAATCTGAGGATGTAACTCTTAAATAATTCATCTGATCTTTAAAAATTACTCAGTGTCCATTTCCCACTTTTTTTCTTATTCTCCTTAATTTCCTTTGATCTCTTTTACCACTGTTTTCATTTGTTTGTTTGTTTTTGGTGTTGATTAACTTCGCAAATCCGATCAACTAGCCGAAACTAAAAAGTTAACTAATTGTTGCATTAAGCGACAATACCAAAATTTTTTATATATAAAAAAACCAACAACAACAATTGTAACCAAGCTGGCTGGGAGGACAACTGCCACAGCAGCTGAGTAGCACGTTGTTGTTGTTGATGATGATGACAACAATGTCTATGCAAGATATACAACACATGGTGGCAAACACATATGGCCTGGTGGCACGGAAGAGTTTGGTGTTGCATATCGCCCGGCAAATATAGATGAAGGAGAAAAAAAACTAGGCGAAGCCAAATTGAAAACAGAGCCGCCACAAAACGACATGCTCGCGATTAAGTCATATTGACTAGCAGCAGCAGCAGCAACAAGAGAAGAGACCATAGAAATAGAAGCAGCAGTCAGCCAGCCTGCCTGCCATCCAGCTAACCAGTCAGCCAGTTTGCCACCAAAGCAAACGAGAAGAAGAAGAAGCATGAAAAAACTAGGCGAGAGAGTAGTAGATTGTTTTTATAAGATTACAGGAGGCACAAAAGCATGGCAAGCCAAAGATGAAGAAAGCAGGTTGCCGGTTAGCAGGCTAGCTAGCTATCTGGATGGCTGGTTGGATGGCTGCTGCATGGATGGCTGGCTGGCTGGTTGGTTTGGTGGTTAGCTGTTTGGTTTTCAGCAGCAGGTTGCTTGTTTTAGGAATGTTAAAACACTTGCTTTACGCCACAAATGCCAAAACAATTGATACAGGTGTAAAAATGGCTTAGAAACAAAATACAGAACACTTTGGGGGCAAAACTCCCAACAAAAAATTAAAAAAATCCCAGAAAAAATAAAAACAAGTTTATTAAAAAATTACAACATAGGATATTCCTTTATTTATTATTATTTTTATTAAAAATTACTCTAAATAACCCCCTTCCTCTCTCTCTCTCTTTTTGCAGATTCACCCAGCGATCATGAACAGAATGGTTCCTGTTCACCCTTGGCTGCTGCCACAGCCAATGATGAGAACAGTCATTCCTGTGATAGAGCAGTAAGTCCCAGCAATAATGAGAATTCGGATATTGCAACACCATCCTCACCTGCCACCAACAAACAAGAGCAACAACAAAGCGAAGAAGAACAAGAAACACCCACAACACCACATAAAACATATCCCAAGGAACAAGAATTTCCATCACCCACACCACCAGACCTAAATGAATCTCAAGAGCCAATAAATAAGGCCCAAGAAACCACAGAAGCACCAGAATCAAATAACGAAGAACAGGAACAACAACAACAACAGCCAGAACAACCCGACTCTCAAGATTCCTCCAAAATGTGTCTAACCAAAACCACACTCGATCAAGAGCATGATGAGGAAATGGAAGATTCTTCCGCCCAACAACCCACCACCCAAGATCTCTCCAAATCTATGGAATTTGAAGAAACACCCGAATCCAAATCCAAAACTGTCGAATCGGAAATGGATAGTGTTTCCACCACCCCCTCACTGCCCAGTGGTTCCCAACTGCTGGCCAATAGTCAATTTCCCACCGCTCCCGTTAACATTGAGGCTATTAAAAATATGCAATTGGCCATAGCTCAAGCGGCAGCCAAAACCATTGCCAACAGCGCTTCGGGTCAGGATAATGAGGCCGCTATGAAACAGTTAGCCTTCCTGCAACAGACCCTTTTCAATTTGCAACAACAACAATTGTTCCAAATTCAACTCATCCAACAGTTGCAATCACAATTGGCCATGAACCAGACGAAAAATCAAAACGAAGAGGAGGAGGAAGAAGAAGAGGGAGAAAATGGTGAAGAAGACACTTACGAAGAAGAGGAGCGTATTGCCCAAATGGAGTTGAGACAAAAGGCTGAGGCCCGCATGGCAGAGGATAAGGCCCGCCAGCATTTAATCAATGCTGGTGTTCCCCTAGAATCGCTGAAACGTAAACGCGACAATGAAGAGGAACCCGAAGCCCAACGCCGCATGAGCGTTGAGTCCTCGGCGAACAACAAATCATCCGACTATGCCTTGGACAAACTGAAAGAAATGGAAAATCGCCCTCTCCCCTTCGGTTCCGATCTTGCCTCCTCCATAATAACCCATCATGATGATATGCCAGAACCAAATTCTTTGGATTTATTACAAAAACGAGCCCAAGAAGTATTGGACTCAGCATCTCAGGGTATCTTGGCCAATAACATGGCCGATGAATTTGCTTTCAAGGAGAACAATGGCAAGGCCGGCAATGAGCCATTCTTCAAGCATAGATGCCGTTATTGTGGCAAGGTATTTGGTTCGGATTCGGCCCTACAGATACACATTAGATCTCACACCGGCGAAAGGCCCTTCAAGTGCAATGTTTGCGGTAGCCGTTTCACCACCAAAGGCAATTTAAAGGTTCACTTTCAGCGTCATGCCCACAAGTTCCCTCATGTGCCGATGAATGCCACACCCATTCCCGAACATTTGGATAAATTCCATCCTCCCTTGTTGGATCAGATGTCACCAGAAAGTTCACCTTCCCACTCCCCCTCAGCTATGCCACAACAAATGCCTACAGCTCCTGTGGCCGCCACCGCCTCTGCTACCACTCCACAAATGCCTGCTTTGAATTTCCCCAGCCCTTCAAACCCCTTCCCCGCCCTGTCGGGTCTATATCGGCCACCATTGGATTTACTGAAAACTCTACAAAGCTCTACGGGTAATTTCCCCAATCCATTCTTCCCCCAAGTGGCCAGCAATTTGGGAGAAGCAGCTGCGCAAGCCCAACAGGCTGCCCAGGCTGTGCTGAATAAATCTCAACAAGATGCTCCCACAGATTTGAGTAAAACATCCCAACCCAATTCACCTGAACCGCCCACCACCACCACTACACACATTAAATCGGAATTACCTGAAGAAATCGAAGGAGAAGAAGACGGAGATTTGTCGGCCAAAGAAAATCGTTCCATGGTGGAATCACCCCGACCGGAATCACCGGCCAAAACAATGTCACCAACACCAACGGATGCCATCAAAATCAAAGAAGAAAAACCCGAACATGAAGATGAAGAACGCGAAGAACAACGGCTAACTGCCTCTCAATCGCCAGCCGTTGCCCGATCCCAAGTACCTAATGCCTCACCATCACCTCCAGACGTCGCAATCAAACCTAGCCTACAACATTTGCCACCTGTGGTGCAACCCGTGCAGCCACCAGCTGCCGTTATGTATGCACAACCTTCGCCCGGATCTCAACACAGTTTGGATCATTTGCCCACACCCGGACAATTGCCCCCTTCGATGTTGCACCATCGTGAGGACTTCTTTGCTGAACGTTTCCCCATGAATTTCACCAAGACTGATGACAGACATTCGCCGATTCGTTCGCCAGCCCATTTGCCACGTCCTCCCTTCTGCAATCCCATGAAACCCTATGACATGGCTTTGTTGCCACGGCCCCACAGCAATGACAACTCCTGGGAGAATTTCATAGAGATTTCCAATTCATCGGAAACCATGAAATTGAAGGAGTTGATGAAGAACAAGAAAATCACCGATCCCAATCAGTGTGTCGTGTGTGATCGTGTTTTGTCGTGCAAATCAGCTTTGCAAATGCACTACCGTACCCACACGGGTGAGAGGCCGTTCAAGTGTCGTATTTGCGGTAGGGCCTTCACCACCAAGGGTAACCTGAAGACCCACATGGCTGTGCATAAAATCCGACCACCCATGCGCAATTTCCATCAATGCCCCGTGTGTCACAAGAAATACTCGAATGCCTTGGTGTTGCAGCAACATATCCGCCTGCATACCGGCGAACCCACCGATTTGACTCCCGAGCAAATTCAAGCTGCCGAAATAAGAGATCCCCCACCCACCATGATGCCAGGAGCTTTTATGAATCCCTTCGCCGCTGCTGCCTTCCATTTTGGAATGCCCGGCGGTCCAGGTATGCCACCAATGGGTGGTCCTCACAATGGCACCATGGGTTCGGAATCGTCACAGGGTGATATGGATGATCAAATGGATTGCGGTGAGGATTATGATGATGATATGTCCTCGGAGCATATGTCAAATTCTAATGATATGGAGTCGGGTGATAGGCCCAAGTCTACAGATGACTTTAAGGCTTTGTTGTTTGAGCAGAAGCTGAGGATTGATCCAACCGGAATGGTAAATGCCGGATCTAGGCCACAGTCGGCTACCTCCAATGGAAATTCAGTGAATTCAGCTCCCAACAGTCCAGTGGCTTTGAATAAGCCATTGAATGTTACCCGTTCCAGTTCACCGGCCAGATCTGCATCGGAAACATCGCATGGTGCATTGGATTTGACACCCAAAGCGGGTCCTGCGAGCAGTGCAGGAAGTACGGTGCGATCGCCACAACCATTGTCGTCGATGAAACGATCCCCATCTCCATTGAGTAAATCACCAAAAATGCCGCAAATTAGCCCAACAACTAGCCTACCACCCACTGGCGCTAGTCCGGTTGATTGTCTGCCACCAAGTTTACATCATCACTTGCAACAGCAACATCAGCACTTGATGCAACAACAAGCTGCCTTGGCTGCAGCACAACATCATCAACAAATGCAACATAATGCCGTTGTTGCCATGCATCAGGAACAATTGCGTCGTGAGGTGGCGGTACAAGCGCAAGCGCAACATCATCATCAGCAGCAACAACAACAGCACCTCCAACAACAGCAGCAGCAACAACAACAATCAGCCTTATCGCCCAACACACCGGGCGGCAGTAGTTCACATACAGCCTCCGGTTCGTCAGCATCGCCACATGGTCAGGTAGTGGCACCGCCACCACCACCACCAAATCCTTTAGTTGGACCCCGACCACCATTTGGCATGTTTCCAAATCTCCCGCTGTTTCCACCGGCTTCCACGCAAAATATGTGCACAGCAATGAATACGATAGCACAGTCTGTTATGCCGGCGGCACCATTTAATCCTTTAGCTCTATCGGGTGAGTTGTGAGTGAAACAATTTTTTATTCCAATTTTTTGTTCGTTCGCTTGTCGTTTTGCAAAAAAAAAAATGAAAATCCCAATGGGCTAGAATGGAAAGAATTTCCAGCTTTTGGTTCCACCTCTCCCCAACCTCTCCACATAAACGCTTGCAATTTATTTTTTATGCTATTGGGGTGCATGGCTTATTATGCTTCTATTTTTTTTTTGTCACATGCTTACTAGGCTTAGGCTTTGCTTTTGTTATTTTTATGGGCTTTAACTAATTTTGGAATTTTCTGTTTATTCGATTTATTTTTTGTAGGAGTCAGAGGCAGCACTACCTGCGGCATTTGTTTCAAAACATTCCCCTGCCATTCGGCTTTGGAGATTCACTATAGAAGTCATACAAAAGAGAGACCATTCAAATGTACCATTTGCGATCGTGGTTTTACAACAAAGGTAAGTGTCATACAAAAAAATCCTTAAGCCACTTCTTCCATTTTCTCTAAGAGAAAAATGTATTTGTTTTTCTTATAAAAACTTTTTTCTAATTTTGTTGTTGTTTCTTTTTTTCTTTCTCTTTCCAGGGTAATCTCAAACAACACATGCTAACCCACAAAATTCGTGATATGGAACAAGAAACCTTCCGGAATAGAGCAGTCAAGTATGTAAGTGTTCCAAAAATCGTAATCACTTGATTTTATGTTTTATTTCTTTTTATTATTTTCTCTCTCGCTACTTTCTATTGCGGGTTGCGGTACGAAGGGAGAATTTCTAATCAATTATAAAGTGTCTCATTATTCTTGTCACGATTACCCCAAGAGACACGTTCAGTGTATTGAAGTTGTGTATTTATTTCAATATTTTTTTTATAATTTCAAATTTGAAATTGAACGGGGGAAGTGAAATGAGTTTTGAAATTGTGACAATTTAAATTACCAAAATAATTTTTGTTTTTCAAAATTTTTTCATGCACGTTTTGAGGGTTAACAATATTACCATGGCACCTTAAAGGGTTAATTATTTTGAATACCTTTTCAAAATTATATTTTTGTTCCTGAAAACAGGAAAAAAAGTTATTTTTACCATATGCCAAAAATTGTCTATTAAACTATCTTGCAAATTCTCTCCCGAATTCCTTACTTCATTGAATGAAACAAAATTGAAAAAATATCTGTCTCTGTGTTTCTCTTTAAGATTTTAATTTTCTGCTTCACAAAAGCATCTCAAATCTCGCATACATCTATTCTCTCGTCAAGCTCTCTTTCCCATCTCTTTTCATCACAAAATTTATGTCGTAGTGAACTTCCACTCTTTCTCTCTCGTCCTTCTCTCTTTTCCATCTCTCTACATTATACAACTATTACTTAACGACAAATTTACTAATTTCCTCTCTCTTTTATTTTTTTCTCTCTTTTTAGATGAGTGGCGCCAAAGAAGACTGAGGTCCATTCTAAGTCGTCATCACTGCTACCCGCTTCTGGCCATTATCCCATGATGGCCCAGGATCAGAATATAATACACAATAATATCCCGGATTTCAGGGTTAGATAAGTTGTAGAGCTAACAAAAAAAAATTATCCAAACAAAAAAGTAAAACTTTAAACACAACAAAAATCGACGTGGTTTTCAAAAAAGAAATCCCAAAGATATAAAACAAAAAAACACACAAACATTTGTTTATAAATTTAAGTTGGAAAAGAAAATTGTAGAGGTCTGCTGGGAGAGAGAACAAGAGGCAGAGAGAAAAAAGGTATTCTTCAGATCGCTTGATTCTCTCGCTAAATCACTCTCTCTCGGTCTCACAATTAAATCACAAAAACTCGCATAGCAATGATCTCACTCATACATAGACCGCAATGGAGCCCATTGAGGGAGCACACACACACAAACGTGCAAACACACTGATTGTGTGTGGTAAAAGGGGAGCTGTTTAGGCCCCGTCAAACACCTCAGAGTTAAGACAGCTTTGGTGTTGTTGTGATGATAATGGTGTTGGCGTTCCTTCAGTGGGTTGAATGAATTGGTTGGCGGCTTGACTTTTTGTTGTTGTTGTTGTTTCACACACACACAAAGGTGCTTTTGGTTTCAATTTAAGGCAAGCATTGGGCATATGAAATTATGTATTTTCGTATGAAAAAAAAAATGAAAGCAATTGAAACTAATGTATAACAATCTCAACAACATTAAAGCGCAATTATTTGGTTGGAGAGCCTTAAATAAAAATCTACTGAAAACAAAATATATTTTGTAAAACAAACATCTTATTTTGGTTGGGCTAATAAAACCAAAAATTGATAAAATATATTTTTAATTTATTTATGGCGCTATAAACACCAATAACCAAAAAGACATAAAAACCAACTAATTTTTTTTATATATTGAAACAAATCCAAAGAATTTTTATTTAGATATCCAAAAAGAAAACAAAAAACAACAAATCAAAAAGAATAAATAAAAATATTGTTTTTTTTTATAGAAACAACAATAAGTTTTAATATTTTTTTCCATTCAATTTAATTTTTTTTCCTTCAACTTCAAAGGCAAATTGAAGAAGAAGAAGAAAAAATAAATATATAATTGGAAATGCTATTAAAATTTAGGCAAACAATAAGAAAAAAAAAACAACAAAAAAGAGACTGATTTCGTTTCATAAAAAAGAGAAATACATTTTACAAATAAATAAAGAAAAACATAACAAACATAATTCCAGCTAGGAAAAAAGACCAGCAAATAAAGAAAAAATAAAATCATAGGAAATGTAACACACACTCACACAAATAAAATCAAAAATTCGAATTTAATACAAACAACAAAAAAAAACTTTGTAAAATATTTAAAAATTATAACAATAGTTATTGTGCAATACAAAAATATAAAAAAAACAAGAAAAAAAAAAACAGAAAAATATGACAAAAAAACTAAAATTAAAAAAAAAATCACAAAATAATTCCTCTTTTCCCCTTTATTTTTTTAATGTATATAAATTTTTGCAATTATCATTTTTTTTTTAATTTTCAACATTACACAAAAACATATTAATAATAAAAAAATTATAAAAAAAATTGTGATACTATTTCATACTTTTTATTGTTTTTTTGAAATAAAAAAAAGGAATTTCTTAAAAAAATATATATATACAAAAATTAAAAATAAACGGCATTTGTACATAAAAAAAAGTTTAAGTAAAATTTTTAGTTTTCTAATTTCATATTATTTTTTTTTTTCATTTTAATTTCAATAAAAAAACACAAGTTCACCTACCTTTAAGTTAGTTGTCTTTATCCTTACCCACACCCTTTTTATTGTAATTAGTCACCAATATTAATACATAAGTATATTAATTATAATTCTAAACAATAAAAAAACACATCAAAACAACATACATATTATTACATAAGTAAACAAACAACAAAGCAAAAAAATTAACATATAATTTCTCACATTAAATTTAACATTTAAGTGTACAATTAATGTATTAAGTTATAAACTAATATTGAAAAAAACAAACAAACAAATAATTTATATATAGATATTGATACAATATTATTATTATTGTAATGTATAGTAAATAAGAAGAAACAAAAAATTATTATAATTATATATTTAGTAAGGAAACAAAAAAACAAAACAAACATCTCATGAAAGAGCAAAACAAAATAAAAGAAAATATACAAAAAATTACAATATGAAATTTGTGAAAAAAAATTAAATGAGTGCGTTTTTATTTTTGGGAAATCATTAAGTCTTGGGCCAGGTTAAGATATTAGAAAATTTTGTATGCATATCTTTAAAGTGGGAGGGAAGAGGAGCAGTATAGTCGGGCGGGGTATACAACTATCACTAAAATCTACCTTTCTGCGGTTCTATATTCTAAGCCTGGCAATATCTCGCGATATTTGCACTTCCTGACCGATTATATGTCAACAGCTCCTCTTTTGGTTTCCAGAGGTTAATATGTATGCCATAAAATAAACATTTGGTCACTTTAGGTTTTGGTTGATTTGACCATTGGAATATTGAGCGATCATCATCTAAACAGCCGTTTTAGTATGTGGTCAGATTCCCTTCACCATCTAAAATATGTTATGTTCTGCATATAATAGACGATGGTACAAAAATAAGGTTTCCGGTTCATTGTACCCCCTAAATATCATTTCAACATCACCGCAAATTATAGGCATCGTCCATATCCATAACCGGTGGAGTACAGGGTTGCCCATATTCGACGGACTCATGTTTTTTTTTGGCAATGCTAATCATTTAATTTGTTCCAATTAGATTTGTATACATCAATTTTTGAATATGATATCTCTCAAATGAACGTCTCTGGCGTTGATGACGTATCGTGCCCGTTTTTCTGCATTTTCCATCGTTTTTGCCAACATTTCGGCCGTAATAGCGTCTATTTCTTCACGAATGTTGTCCTTGAGATCTTCTACGGTCCTTGGCTTGTTAACGCAAACCTTTGACTTCAAATATCCCCACAAGAAGAAGTCAGGCGGCGTCAAATCGGGCGAACGCGGTGGCTAGTCCAAATCACCACTTTTCGACATCAAACGGCCCGGAAAAAAATTCTTCAGAAAATCGATTGTCATGCGACTAGTGTGCGGTGGCTGCGGTGGTCTTGTTGAAACCAGAACTGCCTCATACGCTTTCAATGAATAATTTGCATCACAAAATTGGTCATCATGTTGCGATAACGCTCCTGATTGATGGCAACAGCATGGCCATTTTCATTTTGGAAGAAAAACGGCCCAATGACCGTTTTCGCACTAACGCCGCACCAAACTGGGACTTTTTTGTCATGAAGAGGCACTTCTTGAATCTCCTGAGGATTTTCAGTGGCGTAAAACTGGCAATTTTGCTTATTTACGGTCCCATTCAATGTGTAATGGGCTTCATCGGACATGATAATCTTGTTCCAAAATTGCTCGTCAACTTCGGCCATTTCGATGACTCTTTGGGCCCATTCCAATCGACGAGGCTTGTCCGCAGGCAACATTCTTTGCGTCAATTGAATTTTGTACGGGAACAAATACAAATCAATGAGAATAATCCGTTGTAAAGTGGACCGAGCCATTCCCAACTGCTGAGAACGGCGTTTTTAGGATGTTCTTGGGGACCGCTATACACTGGCTCGTACGGCAGCGATATTCTCGGCCGATCGCCTTAGTCGACTTTTATATGGCATCTTCGGATTAGAAAGAGCCTTACCAGTCGAAAATTTTTCGTATAAACGCTTAATGGTGTTTTTAGAAGGCGCACTTCTCACATTTTTTAATGTTTTAAAAGCACGTTGAGTTTTCATAATTGACTTCTTCTGTAAATTTCAACTATTTCAGAGCGCTAGGGTGGCGTGTATTGGTTCATGGTAAAAATCTGCTTGGACTGACGCTTCAAACGCGATGTGACATCTCTGTCAAAAGTTATGTCGTTGCCAGATGGGTCTGTCGAATAATTTTATTATTAGCTTTATATCAGATTTATGTTTTTATCAAAGAGGGGTTCGATTTAATTTTGATCAAAGCGGTTACTCAATTCGCTTCAAATTAAATTATTTATAAAATATTGACCATTTGTGAGGGAGGTACCGGAAGGAGTGGACCAATGGGTCCCGTCTACGGACTTGATCTAGGTTATGCAATTTTTGGTTAAAATCGGAGATTCCATTATCCTCATATTGGATTTATAAATATTGATCGTTTTTCCATTTGTGGGCCAATAGTTCCCACCTTCAGACCTGATCTAGACTTGGGAAAGATAATAGGTTGTGCAAAGTTTGGTTCAAATCGGACATTCGTCTGATATTGGAATTACAAAAATTGAAAATGTTGACCATTTGTGGAGGAGGTATGGAAGGAGTGGATCGATATAGCCCATTTTCAAACATAAACTAAGCTTGGAAGAAATATTACGATGTGCAAAGTTTGGACGAAATCGAAATCCCTTCGAGAGTTATCGTGCGGCCAGACAGACGGACAGACTGACATTCTCCAAATTGTTTGAAACGCATTTGGTCCAAAGAATCATGGGGTCTAAAACCAATATTTCGATGAGGCACATTTTCACTGTATCAAAGTATTTATATCCTCAATAGCCATAATGCTGAGGGTTTGCAAATAAAACATATATACCATTAAATATTTACTTATAACTCCCACATCCGAGTACTTACTTACCTACTTAGCTGGTTTGTGACAGAACTTTCGTTCCATAAGCCGAGCTTAAAAAAGATTTCCAGGCGCTCTTTTGCGCAGTTTTTGAAAGACAATGTTCGGCAATGTTGTCTTCAACTTGATCTTTCCATCTAATTCGTGGCCTTCCCCTTCTGCGTGAGCCATCAGCTTTTATATGCCTTTTGAGCTGGGGAATCTTCATCCATTCTTCTAACATGACCTAGCCAACTTAGTCGCGCAGTCTGACAATGGCGATGTCTGACAATATCTGGTACAACTCATGGT